GTGTGTGTGTGTGTGTGTGTGTGTGTGTGTGTGTGTGTGTGTGCCCATTTTACAATTTGATTGTAGATGAGTCACTCTGTCTGTTAGGCATATTTCTCATCTCTGTATCTAATATGGAGCCTGGAAATTGGTTTTGGAGACTTCTATTTCTCTGAATTCGTGTTTGGTAATTTTCTCCTCTTTCTCCCTCTCTTACGTTTACCACGAACTGATCCATTCTTTTACCAACAATTAATTGTGTCTCTACGATGGCATTTTTAAGGCAGGCACAATATCACTGACACTTGAGTCAAATGAAGCCACCTGTTCTGTGGATAATAAAAAGTCCTTGTGAAATTGCAAAACTACTTAGTTGTTGCATGAGATTTAAATCACAACAACCTATGATGAGGTGTAATAAAGGACCAGGTGAAACAGATCAAAATGTCAGATTACAGAATTTTTAAAAAAGTCTTATACTATTACACATTTCAAAACTGCTGGTAAAATAACATAATCAAGGATAGGTAAAATAAAATCTCTTAAAAATTATGCTATTAAAATATATTAGTTTCAGAAGTAGTAAAGATGTAGATATAACACAATGGATTTATCAAACACGTTTTTGTGTTTTCATGATTATTTGATTGGGGCACTCTTGTGGTAGGTTTTGTGTCACAGCGCCTCCTATGTGTTCCTGCCGCTAACAGCAGCCTGTCTGGTTTATAGCAGGTTGTTGTAGCATATAAGTAAACCACGCGTCTTTCCTTAGAAAATAACTGTAATGTTTTATCCTGGTCATGTTGACATTCATATTAAACAGAACTGAAATGTAGGATAAAAAGGTAAGATTTCTATATGTAAAGCTTTATTTTAAGTGCTCCACAACTGAGAATAAATAAGGTCAAATTAAAATAAGATGTATCAAATCCTTAAAATAAGATATATTAAACCCTTAAAAAGCTGATACACATATTATTTGGGAGTTTTTCACCACATGAATTTTATTTCAGAAATCCACAAAATGAACAACATTTTTAACTAAAGGGTTATATAGTTACTGGAAGCCACAAATTGAATTGTAACACGACATCTACAATATACAACACGTATATCAGCCGCAAAAATGCACAAAAAATGGCTTTCTGGCACTTCACGAATAGGCTGTAATTTAGTGAACTGTCAAATGCTTTCTATGAATACGATTTTAAACAAATATGACACAAATTCATATTGGGGCGTTTTACATGTAATATAGCTTAACATATTATTGACACATATTATTTTGTCTGTTCACCAGCACTGTTTTTGACTTTAAAAAGACAAACATTTAGGCCTATATTAGTTTAAATGACAGAATAGAAATTGTTATAAGTTCTGGTTTTCATTCATGTCTCTCAAGTTTGATATTTTTTGATAACGTTACCAATGAGCATTGCACTCACCAAAGTTAAAAAAAACCCTCTTTATCTCATGTTTACAAGATCAGGATCTTGTAATTATGATGTCTTATCTTGTAATTATTGAGATCCGGATCTCGTTATCAAGTTAAGGAGTCTATTTTCCCCTTTGAAGGATGCAATGCTCTTCTGTAGAATGCCATAGATGAGATGGCTCAAACACTAATTCTGGCCCTCTTGCTTTATTTTGGCCACGTGTGCTTAAATATTAAAAAGCACGTGTGAATATTAGAAAAACTGTCGTTTGAGATACTAAAAATATAGTTTGTGGATAGGTTAAATGAAACATTGACATATTTTGAATGGTATAATCTTCTTATTATATGTAAAACCGGCTTGCTATAAACACAGCCAGCTCGGCTCCTCCTCCGCCGTTTTTTGACTGTAAACATCCTGCTGATTTTAAAAGGACAGCGCTGAGCGGGAGGAAGGCGGCTGGCGCCATCTTGGCTGTTTTAATGAGTACAACAGGGGAGAATTTGCTGGGAAAAATTACCTAATCGTTGTGATTTCACTCTAAGAGGGCCACTGTCGGTAAGCGTGCTTGCAGCTGGAATATTTGCGCACGGATTTATTTAATTGCTTTTAGAAGAAATAGGCCTGCATGTTGAGCTTTATTCGTTGCGGCCTGCGCTGTATGAGGAGCCGTTAGCCATCGGCTAAATAGTGTTGTTCTGACAGGGGGGTAAAAGTAGGATATCGAGCACCACCTTGTTCCAGAGTGCTCGATGCTGTTGAGTGTTAATAAATGTATCATAAAACGCACAGGTGAAGACAAAAAGTCCGCTTAAACTTGTCTGTGTCACTCACCCAGCTAACTTATTCGCTGTTTTTTTGTAGTTAGCTGTCGGCTAATTTAGTTCGTCCCACTCGATGGCGCCGACTATTTACTGGCGTTGCCCACTCTTTGGCGCAATTATTCATCTTTAAGTGTGTGTGTGTGATATGAATTTATGTTCCTTGCACTTTTGGTATATTCTTGTGTCGCTGTGTAGAATTACAGCCTTTTTTTTAAATTGTCTATATAGATATATTTTTATTTATTTTATTTATTTTGGAAAAGTTTTCCCACTCGCAGATTTACATTCAGTGTTTGGTCCGGACTGAGATGTAGACGGAACTAGAACGGAGATAGCTGTTTAAAATAATAATAATAATAATAATAATAATAAAAACGACCTGGCTAGTTTTTGTCCTGCGTTTTTTTCTTTTCTTTTTTCTTTTCTTTTTTTTGTTTTTGTTTTTCGTTTCTTTACACACGTGTAGTCCACTAATACAAACACTAAAACAAGTGGTTCAGTTAGGCTGTAGTTTCGTGTCGTATAAACGCACACTGTTGTACTGATACAAGTTTCAGGTTAGTTATTCTTCCTTAGTGTGGAAATTTGACTTTCTTTAATCTCAGACGAAATATTACCGAATTTAAAGAAATAGGATTATTTTAGCTGGTTTGTGTGGTCTGATGTGTAATTGTTAACAGTAAATAAAAACTGATCGTCATTCTGATTGATGTAGTATTTCCAGATTTGCACTTAAAATATTGTTTTTAATTTTATCTTTAGTATTTATATGCTTTAAAACACATTTTCCCCTGGCATATAATAGGCCTAGTATGCTATTTTGCTTTTAAATAACATTTTAAATTTATTAATGTAAAATTGTTTTCTTGACTCTACAGTATTAGTTTTATCAGTTCTCTTTCCCCACCCTTTGTTTCAGTAGAATGATGTATTTTCTTCTTATGCTCTATTTCAGTGGTTCCCAAACTTTTTATCTTCTCTCCCACAAAGTTTCCATGGCAAAAACTTGTGACCCCAAMTATTACTGGTCTGAGTACACAAACTTTGTTAATAACCCTAAAAACACAGGCTTTTTGACAA